TAGTGTGGATTTTCGGATTCGGCATAGTGAATAGGCCCGGTTAAGCACAAAATTTCAAAATCGAGTTCTTGCCCGGACACTGCCTTTAAGCCAGGAGTAGAACGCGCTCGCGGTTATATGCACGTCACTGTTATCGATGCCCAAATTACGCATGCAAAACGCGCGATGTGACGCGATGTGAGGCGACCCGCCATAATTTTTACAGTTAAACTCCTTGAAACAACTTACGAATGGACTGCAGGCATTTGGGACAAATCTTCTTCTGATGCGCAATGCGCTCTCTGTCTACCAGGTCTTCAACTACATTACACTCCGCATTAAAGTGCCTCATCCCTTCGCAGAATACGCACGGCCGATGCTCGCGTCTATGCCTTCCTGCACCTTTCACTTCCTGCCCGACTGGTACAACTGTCTGATTGGACTCCTGTCCAGCCTCCCGCGCGACTGCAAGATAGTGTAATGTAAGGCGTCGCTCGGGGCGATGAGAGGAGGTTGGCTGTTGTTCTTCTTCCGTAGAAGATGCTGGTTGACGCGTTGAGGGTGACTGCAGCGGTCGTGTCAACTGCTCGGACAGTGACTTAGACAAAAATCTAAGTTCTTGGTCTTACATCCGGGCTTCTTCTTCTAAACTCCTGACTTCGAGTAACGACATGGCGCTGATGTCTTGGGCCGCTGATGGAAAAGTAAAATCCGGTAGCTGCTCGGTCTCCGGGTTGTCCTGTGATTGATCTTCATACTGACGAACTGTGTGGCCTTCTCGCTCGACTGAACGAGACACGCATCCCTTAAAAAACTGTGGAGAATCTCTTTATAACTTTCTTGCCAGATCCGCAGGGCTTGAATAAATACGCGCGGCTCCAGCGATAGTGGACCTGGAGAACCGACGCAGTAAGCCTGTGATAATCTCTATCTTCCTTCGTCAAACTCAGTCCTCTGCGCGACACGACACAGTTCATTTGGAGGGCTTCAAGTGTGCGCGTCAAGCGAGCGTCATAAGCTATGGCTGCTGAAGCAGCCATAGTCTTCTCCATAATAGTGGCTTCAGTACATCGTAACGCGTAACGCAACCAAAAACGACTAAGAGCGCGCGACAGAGACGGCAGCAGAAATTCCATGATGAATCGCGATGGCTGCGATTCCTGTACTAACATGCTGCATGGCATGAATATAGCCCATTAGCGCAACATATCTTATGTTCACCTTATCCCTGTGCAGCAGTGGCGTTTGGTGCTTAAAAATACAATGTTAGCGCACTCTAGTACTGCAGTAAGCTG